GGGGCGGCAGCCTGCAGAAGGGAAGGCTTTTGGGACTGGTTGTTTTGTCACAGAGATGTGCAAGTCCCTGCGGTGGGGCTGTGCTCTGCCACAGCAGCTTGCACGGGGCTCAGGTGTTTGCGCTGATGGCTGCTTTATAGGGCAGGTTACAAAGGTGAGCAACATGCTTTTGGGACCACTGCGATCCAGCTCCAGGTACTGGAGGGTTAAGCAAAGCATGAAGCAGTATCCTAAATTTTTCCCCAAATACCGAACATCTGAGACCTGTCAGTGGCACGTCAACGACCTTTCAAAGGTGTGCTATTGAAGCAATGTTGGATTGGCTTAAAGATGTATATTAAACCATTTGGCTTAGTATTGATACAAGTATCACAATGCAGTAGAGATACTGCATATGCAAGGTTATCATATGGTATCCTAAAACTAAGAAACTCGCAAGGAATGAGGAAAAACAAGGTGACATTTGTTCTCTATAACAAGTGTCCCTCCTGACCTCGACTATTCTCATCTCCATCATGAAGCTGATGAGAAACTTGCACCTTTTAATCAGGGTGCTGAACGCTGGCAGCTTTCATCCCTTTTTGTTTAAGGGAGTGGCTGCTCGGTGACAGTCACTGCTCTCTCCTGAGCTGGCCTGTGCCAGGGCCCAGGAGGAGGTTTGGTGTTATCTCTCGCAGGGTGTTTGGGCACAAACACCCCTTGGCTCTGTTCCCCTGCTGCTCTGAATGAATAAAAGCTAATTCCCTTGTCCTGGCCAGCTCCCCACACCCCCTCCCCAGGCCTATTCGAGCTCCTGTGCGGGCCTGTGGCTCCTCTCCCACCACAGCATCCCCAGCACAGCAGGGATGTGCTGGGGAAGCGTGTCCAGAGCCACTGCCTGTCCGTGGATGCTCAAACGCAGGCTCTCTCTCCCCCAGCACTCGGGCGCTGTGGGCAGGAAGGCGGCCACTGCTCAGCCAGCGGAACAAATGCTTGTCCTTCTGCCACCATTTCATCACTAAAAATGCCTTTACAGCCATTAAGCTGCAGCACAGGGTGCCGGGGGCACAGTTTAGGGCATGTGAGAACAGGCTCTGTAGCATGTTCCAAGGGGCAGCCCATGCAGCGACAGGGAGCTCAGTGAAACCCTCCTCAGCCCGTTTGGCTCATGGGCCCATTCCTCCTCATCACCAGGTTCTTGTACCAGATGAAGCAGAGCAGCCTTTGTGTCTCGGCCATCACTCTGTGGTGCTCAGAGCTGAAGGGCAGCTCCACACTGGGGGAGAAAAAAAGGGTCTCCAAGCTGATGTAAACCGCACGAGTTCTGTCTGCCCTTTGCATCAGAGGGCAGGTTCCAACAGTCACTTTTACTGACTTGAATCTGACTTCTCAGGCTCTTGTCCTCGACATGTGCTGTAAAAACACCAGGAAGCCTGTGTCAGGATAGTCAAACAAGATTGGAGGCAAGTGCAGAGCGACCAGGGGAGCTCTACCTGATGCTTTGAAATGTGGGTCTGGTTTGCAGAGACCAGAAGGTTTTAGTGTCTGAATTTTCTCATTAAGCCTTGTA